TTTGCCCAGCCCTCCTTGCACTCTGATCTAAAGATGCCTCAACTCAATGATGAAAAAAACCCAAGAYAGTGCAGGTGTCCTCTTTCCAAATCACCAGAAGCAGGCTAGCAGATCTCTGCTCCCACCCCTGAGCTACTGCAGCTATGAGTCACCTCCCAGAATGAAACCAAACCGGAGGGGATACACTGGGCTTAACCCCAGCAAGCAACAACACATCGTAATTGTCATACCCCCGGCTCAACCTGCACACACCCGAGTAAACTCACTGCGAAAGCTGTTGGGAAAYAAACTACCAGAAAAGCCAGAGCTAAGAATCACCTTTTCATATCAAAGTTACATATTTTCTGTGCACCCACACAGAGAAAAGTAAGTTGCTAACCAGTACTTAGACACACCTTAAATTCTGCTCAGTGTGATTTCAGAGGTATTACCTGACATAATGAAGTGGTCGCAGGTAACAACTGAACAGAGGCAGAACTCCATGACAGATGAATGAGTATTGCTTTGTAGGGAGACTCCGTATTCCTCACATCCCAAAAAGCTACATTAAAAAGTCCACTTCAGAGTTCTTATTAAAAAAAAGATCTAGAAAATAAYGGCTTTCTGTAACAAAAACTATTATTTTGTTGGCTGGTTTGATTTTTTTCATACATTACCGTTTTAATAAAACTACTTAACCATGAGACATCACCTTCCAAATATAGCTGATTTGACAGCTGATCTTTTCCTGGGACTCAAACAAATCAAAAGGCCTACTATTTTTCATAYTGCCACAAAATTTGGATTTCATTCCCACATATGCAGGCAAAGCATCCTTACAGCCAAACTGCTGGCCTGTCACAAAACCCATCAGCTGGTAAAAAAATGGGGGACACGAGCATGACCTTTAGCGTACCACATGTAGGCAGATGTGCTGAAATGGTTGAGGAATCTTCTCAGAAAGGTCAGGGATGCTGTTTCATTTGTGGAGAAACTGAGAACACAGTTTCAAAAATGTCCAAGCTCAGAAATTTTCTCCTGTCTATTTGGGAAATGAAGATCCAAAAAAATGCAGTCCACAGGTCAAATTCTTCAGAACTCATAAATCTAAAATCAAGGATACTCTGAATCATACTGAAGGTTTTGCTCCTCTCATCCAAAATGGAGCAGAACAGGAATCTCAGRAATCAAGGAGATTTTACACTTTTAATTATTGTGCTGAACCTCCTTCCATTGCTGCCATAAATACACCTCCAGCACACCACTCAAAAGACCATGCTAGAAACAGAGGAAAATTTAACATGCTCATGAACAATTTCCCATCACACAAGTGCCCTAAATTCACAAATGCCCTAAATTCTAAACTATTCACCAGAATTCCTTTYTGAACCTCATGTCCATATATGTGAGTGCTGGGTTTTGTCCAGGACAATTATCAAGTGAACTCCAAGTAACTTAAACCACTTCCTCATACTTGAAGCATCCATGAAACCTCTGATCTGCACTTTATTTTTGTCACTGCTATCATTCCTCTGTATTGAGACGTTAATCCAAACAACCTAGAGCACTACTACAAAAATATTCAAAAATAAATATTTATCATAAACCAAGAAGATAACCCCAAAAAACATTAAYCAGACAGTATACACAAAYAYTTAGTGGCCATTAAARCTTGCATGTAGCAAAGAATACTAAYAACAACATAACTGAAATGCAAACAGCATAAAAAAAACAGTATGGCTTTCGCCTCAACTTTCCTTGTTACTGAACTTTATATTATTAAATGCTCTCACTTCCTGGTTTGTCAGAAACCACATTGTTTTAGTCAGAGCTGCTCACTTAAAGGAAGAAGGAGGGACGGTAATTGTTTTTAGAGATGTTTCAAGACCTCTGATAATAGYAGAGTACCTTTATATGCTTGAGAGTTTTTCTCTCTATGTTTGGTTCTCCTGCATTAAGGAAACATTATTAACTAGTCTACTTGCTTTAAATTATGTAATTTAAAGCAATTGGCCCAAGAAGTTCACAGGTGTATATTAACATTTGTAGCTTCAACAAGGAAAAGTTGTATCTTCAATGTTTAGTAAGATCTGTTGTGAAATGTGAAATATATCCACACAGTATTCAAAAAAACAGCAGCTGAGACCCTAATTCATTACTTTTAAAAAGAACACTGAAACCACATTCTACTCTTCCCAAAAAGCAGACTATGTAACATGTTTGAATGAATTGCTGACTACCTCAYCCCCTGCACACGGAACATGAAAGTTCTGCCTTGCTTCCAACAGGAAGCAAAAAGGGATGTAAACATCTTCCCGGGAAAAACTGTTTTGACTTAAAACAACATGTGTGTTGTGATGACAGTTTGAGTTACTAAATTAACATTTAACTTTCTTGTTGAGTATACCTGTTAAATGTTTAAACATAACGACACACTTCTCAGTTCTAAATAAAGCAGCAATTTCTCTGAAGAAAATTAAGGAGGATGCTGCTTAGAGTTGTTTCAAGTGTAAATGTGTGTATATAAAGAAGCTCATACACTTTTTTTCCCAGCTTTTGTGGAAAGCAAAAAGAAAATGGTAAGAAATTCAGTATGGCGAAAGTGTAAACGTGYAAAAAATTATTAACAGGAAAATAACATCCAAAACCTGCAGAKTCTTCTCCACGTCCATGCTATTCTTTCCCCTCATTCAGGCAATCAACTTACCAGATTAAACACAGTGTCGACTATGTCCCTGTTGGACACTTCACCAACTTCCACCAGTCCTGTCAGCACAGCGAATTTCATCTTGATGCCTCGGATGGGGACTCCYGGATTCAAAGGCTGCAGCACACTTCCCCCTTCAGCAGCATTTCCTTCTTTTCCCGCTCCTCCTCCTCCATCATCACCTGTTGGCTGAGCAACTTGTTTGCCTTCACTCGCCATGGCCAGTTCACCGCAGCCTACGGCTTCCAGCGCCAGCTGCACACGCTCGCCGCTCCGGGAAGACCTGGTCAGCCGGGAAGGTGAACGGCGGCCCTCAGCTTCCGTCCCTTCGGCTCCGGCTCCTGAGGAAAGCGGTGTCCGGCGGGGGAGGGAGGACGCGCCCTCGGAATCGCGGCTCTCTCCTCGGCAGGAGGCGTCTGTCACAGCGCTTCCCTCGGGCAGGTATTGGCAGCCCTGAAGGACAACCCGAGGTGTGTTTCAGCCCGCGGTCCGTCCGGCGCTGCCACAGCCCGCACGTCCCGGCCCCTGCCCCACGCCCGGCGGGAGCCGCCCGGGGAGCGCTCACCCCTCTCCCCGCGGAAGTGCTCCCGGACCCGCCGCGCTCCGAGCCCCCGCCGCAAGGGTTTAATCTGCTTTTTCCCCTTTTTTAATTTTTTTTTTTTTTTACCTAGAAGGAACACGCTCCTCCTTTCCCCCCCCCCGGCTCCCGCCCTCCGCGCTCCCGGCTGCCGCTCGGGCACGGCCGCGGGCAGGTGCAGCGCCCCGCCAAGTTCGCACTCACCGCGGGCTGCGGAGGGGGCGCGGGCTGCCCGACGCGCGGCTCCGGGGCCGGGAGGCGGCTGCGCTGCCCGGCTGCGGACTGGGCTGCGCTGTGCTGCGCTGCGCCGGCCGCCGCTGCCGCCGCCTCAGAGCGCGGTCCCGGTCAGCCCCATCTCCTTCCTGCCGGCGCTGCCGCTCGCTGCCGCCATGACAGCGCGGAGCCCCCGGAGCGCCTGCGCGGGCCGGGCGCGGGCGGGGCCCGGCGCGGGGCGGGAGCCGTGAGCTGCGCAAGCCCAGGTGAGCGCAGGTGAGCGCAGGTGAGCGGGACCGCGCCCTGCCCCTCATGCCCCTCAAGCCCCTCATCCCACTCATCCCCCTCATCCCCGAGTGTTCTCGGAGACGCTGCTGACCTTCTGGGGCCCGGCCGCTCCTGAGTCTTAACTTGTCCCAGACTACTGTACTGTTCACAGAATCACAGAATGGGTCGGGAAGGGGCCTCTGGAGATTGTCTGATCCGTTCATCCTGCTAAGGCAGGCTCACCTGGAGCGGGTGACACAGGAACATGTCCAGGTGGGGTGGGAATGCCTCCAGAAAGGGAGAGTCCTCCCTGGCAGTCTGTTCCTGCGCTCCGCCACCCTCAGTGTAAAAAAGTTCTTCCTCACATTGAGCTAGAACTTCTTGTGATTTTAGTTTATAGCCATTGCTCCCGTTCCTGTCGCTGGGCACCATGGAAAAAGTCTGGCACCATCCTTTGGGCACCCACCTTTGTGATATTTGTGTGCAATAATGAGATCCCGTTCAGTCTTCTCCACACTGAACAGGCCCAGCTCCCACATTCTCTCCTCGTAGGACAGATTCTCCAGATCCCTCATCATCTTTATTTGTCCCTTCGCTGGACCCTCTCCAGCAGCTCTTTGTCTGTCTTGTGCTGAGGAGCTCAGAACTGGACACCGGAGTCCAGACATGGCCTCACTAGGGCCGAGTTCTCTAACCGCTCAATTAATGAAGCCTGCCCTTCCTGAAACAACCTTTTTCTTTTGGGAGGGGTGGTTTTGGAGAAGGTGAGGATTTGGGGGTCTTTTTCTGTCTTTTTTTAAAAGAATATAAAAACCYCATGCGAACAGTGGGCCCCCAACCGAGCGCTCTGCGTTCGCGGATCCATCCCGAAGGAAAACCGCGGCTGTGCGGGGGAAGAGGATATTTGGATGCTCCAGCTCCTGCCGCTGCCAGCACGATCCCGGGGAACCGCTTCACCCACCCAAACCTCCAGCATGGGCGGGCGGGCTGTCGTTCTTCCTCCTCCCCCTGCTTCTGCTGCAGGCGCTGCTCCCTGGAGAGCGCAGGGGCGCGAATGTGGGTCATTAGAGACGCCACCCAGATGTGACAAGCTGAGGTAAAAAGGGATGAGGGAAGGAAAACYCGATCTCTCCCTTCAGGTTCAAAGCCTGTGAGGGCGGCGCCGGTTGTTTCGGTGTCTCAGAGCTGGTGTCACAGCCGTTCCCCGGCCCCTAAAAGCCACCAGAAGGGGCGGCGGTGCGAAAAGCCAGCGCCCCGAAGCCTCCACCGAGCCCCGGCGAGGGCGGTGTAACCTCCACCTACAACTGGAGTAATGGACGAGAACTGCTGACCTTTTTGTGCTCCCTCCCAGGGTGACTTGAGCTGCAGAGGCATCAATCCCATCCTRTCCTTYTGTTTGACCTTTTAAATGAATGTAKTTGATATTAATMTGAGCATTTGTTAATAAAAAAGTGGGAGGGTTTGCTCCTCCGAACTCTTCTTTCAAGGCGTCTTCACCTCTGCCTTTCTAAGAAARCTGCCAGTGTTAATAAGGATTAGACACACTTCTAAAGGCTGTGGGATCTTGTACCAGCTGTTTAACACACAGACAAGTGTTTGAGTTTTATTAAAAAAGTATAACGGCCAACATGTCAGCATCGAAGATTTCCAAAGGAAGGATCATCTCAGGAATGTGAACATAACCTGCAGACAGACAGATAGATATAGAACACAAATAAAGGCATACGGACCTTTTAACACTTCACATCTTCTGTGATATAAAAAGCTGTAATTTATATAACTCTATCTAAGGAAAGGGAATGAATTTTTAAATCGGTAAAAATTTCTGTGTTTTGAAGTCTGACATTAAAGAACTTCCAAGGAGGACAACTGGCATTTGTGTGGCAAATCAAAATTTCTCATTATACTTTATACTGTACCATGTTTGGGACAGAACGGTTTGCATGTACACATTCCTGACTGTGTTTACACATCCAAAAAAAGGTAGAAACAAACTCAAACCACAGTTTTTCAGGAAAATGCTTTTCTGAAGTGATTGCAATGTTCCTTAYAAGCACACCAAATATGATTGCAATTATTTAATATTAACTATTATACTAACTGGATTATTAATATTATCATCATCATAAAAAATTTAACTTGCCTGTGGCCTGATTTGAGAATGCCATACTTAGTGTGTGTAGGTATCAAATTTTGCATGGTTTTGGAGCAAAAAAATATGAGGCCCTCAAGACAAGACACATTCCATTATAATGCTTGTTCCTTTCCCTTCCTACGTAATTTTCTCACATTGTTACTTTTATCTATAGAGTGCATGTCAAGACTAGAACATTTCATAGTCTTGCTCTCCTGTTTGAATTTCCAAGTCCTAAGAAAAGACTAAACTCCTTTTTTTTTCCTTTCTTTTTTCATTTTCCTTAGTTACATACATACATATACATTATTAGGGAGAGATGGTAATCTCTAATTTAAGCAGCAAACATCTGCAGTTTCTTCCTTGGAAAGAGAAATGTTTAAAACTCTAATATTGACATAGTCAGTTTCTACCAAGCTACAGTGATCTTGTGTGGCTATACACATGCTGTGTAATCTTGAAATTTTAATCTTAGAGTTTGCTGCTGCCAGCATTTCTTATGCATGTTTTGGATTCCTCACATCTACTGCTTGAGCTTCTCTGTCTGAGTCAYCTGTAGTTTGCTAAAGTATTTTCTTCCCTCTTGTAAGGAAGATATAATTTTTATTTGAGCCTTTAAGCTGGCTAAGTACACAAACACATCATTTTTATCTGCCTGTTTTTAAGTATTCCGTGTCTCCATGGCTGGTCTTTCAGGTTTCCACCAGGCAAAAGCAGAAATTAAATAATGTTTGGAATTTTTTACRTACCTGGTGACTTGGAATATGAATTCTTTTTGYGGCTTCTCTTGTTATCCAAAGAGAMTGTAACATTTGTTGTTAATACTTTTCTGCTTTCTTCTTTGGTTTAACATCACTCTAGAAAGAAAATAAATAAAATAATWGCAAAAAATCCTTCATAATGGATTTCAGATGTTTTCATCTAAAATGCTTGCTCCAATAGCYAGCAAATCCAGCTTGCCAGGGAAGGCAGCATTGTCATATTGAATCCTGTCAGATCTTCCTGTATTTGCTTACAGAAAATAAATACTCCCTGACTGGCCTTGATTGTTGAAGGCAGTGCATTAGTCAAGGCCAGTAAAGTTTAGCAGACTGCCAGTTTAGAGTTCCATAGACAATTGTTTTAATTTGATTTTTCAGCCAGGTAAAATCAGTGTTACGTTCTTCAGCTGACCTGGGAATCTCCTTTTGGGCTGGTTTTATGATCAAGCAACCTTCCCAAAAAAACCATCAACAAAGATCTGGAGAAACAGACTATGTTAGATAAAAGTTATTTAAAATATAGCTGAGAATTGGAAGTAAACCTGTCGTCCTGAGCTTCCCAAGTGTGGTTACAAGTCTAATGCTGGTTCTGCCTCCCACAAGCAAACTGGAAGTGTTRAGCTAAGGGAATAAAAAATGACAGAAGTTTTCTGTAAAGCTTACAACCCAAAAGAAAAATCAGAAAGCATGGATTAAAAATGAACTTAAACACCAGCTTGGGAATGAACTCCTCAAGATTCTATGGAAATTACTACTAAAGTCTCTAAGCTCCATTTTAAGAAAAATTATGCTTTCTCTTTAAATAACCTTTGAAGTATTACTGTGGGTGCTGCTTTTGAAGCATTACTCAAATCTTCTGAACTCTCTATTCAGCACTGATCCATTCTGCACACTGGAGCAGGACCTGGRGCAGGCCCCAGAGATGGTGAAGAGACTTGAGCATCTGATGTAGGAGGAGAGACTGACTGAGAGAGCTGGGGGAGGGAAGTCCTGGGGGTCTTTTCAATGTGCATTAACAGCTGATGGGGGAGTGAAGAACAGCAGCTGAGGAACAGACCCACTGCCAGCTCCATTGCATCTGTTGTAAGAATAATTTTTGGCAGCTGGAGTCACTACCCTTTAAATTGCTGCAGATAAATATGAGCAGTGCTCATGGATCAGTTATTTCATGCAAAAACCCCTGTTTATATCAGATAAGAAAGCAAACTTCCTTCTTCTTACACAGTACAACTAATGTCTAGTTTTGTTGGGGTCTGGGGAGACTTCATGACACCTAACAATGTCAGAAAAAGTTTTGAATAAGTACATTTTAGCAGTGAAATACTCCRCCTTTAAGCAAAATGAGAGCAGAGAAATAATATATCATTTTATAACTTTTTGTGATAAAACACTTCTTAATCTTGAACATTGGATGAGAAGAAATGGCCTGAAGTGCAAGAAATGTTTAGATTGGGTATTAGGATCAAAGGGTTATTAAATACTGGAACAGGCTGCCCAAGAAAGTGGTGGAGTCCATCCCTGGAGGTATTTARAAGACATGTRGATGTGACACTCRTKGACATGGTTTAGTGGCGRACTTGGCAGTACTGGGTTAAAGGYTGGACTCAATGATCTTAGAGGTTTTTTTCCAACTGGAGTGATTCCCTGATTCTGTGATTTAGAGCATCTTTTAAAATCCTTGACTAGATATTAAAACCCAAATTAAAAAACTGCTTTTAAATACCATTCACCCTAAATATGAGAGATCCTCTTAATTTCTACAGAGAGCATAATACTTCAGGAGAGTAATGCCATTCCAAAATATTGGCCGTGCCTAAAGAGGAAGTCTTCTTTTGATTAGGTGTGAATGCTTTTGTAATATGTGTTAGATGGCATTATTTTGTTAAATAATTTTTTTGCTTTTTTATAATATATTTTTTTTTAATGCATATGTTGATTTTTCCTCATTTTTCTTTAGAAGTGTAATCAGTGTATCTCTTAATTTGTCTGCATCATGTGTTCATGATTGGCAGATTGCTACTATCCRTGTTCTTAAAAGCAGTGAATCTATAAATGAATGTCTAATGAATCTCAGGCACTGGAAAATGCAGTTCCATTCTGTAAGAAATTTATGCAGGCACTGAGYTGAAGAAGCTGCTTTACCCCATTTCTTTGGTTCATTTAGCCTAGAAGAGGTCTTCAAAATGTCAGTGTAATTCCTTGCACTATGCAAGTTATATMAGGAAATATCTCAGGAACTTTTACCACTGCATTCTGAATAAATGTATGAAACACCTCATGTCACTCTTTYAATGAACAGTCCTTACTTTTCTTTTGAGTCTGCAGCCTTACTTTTTTAGCCTTTTTTTTTTCCACTCCAGTTCCACAGTGGAATACGTGACTGYTGTTGTGAAAGTCCTCTCAAGGATCCAGCTTCTGGCAGCACCAAAAGACATGCTTCCCTTGTTTTTTGCTTTGGTARTAAACCCTACATTGGTTTTGGGCAAAACAACAGTGCCTGACGTGAGCAAACAGAAGATACTACAAATTGTGTTTCTTCACTTGGGCCCTGTTCGCTGAAAGCCAAGTTTAAATTCATGAGATCAGAYATCTGTACCCTTGCAGAGTGTGCTGGAGGGAGGTGTTTTTGCATCTGTGCTTACCTGTCTTGCTGTGCTGCATGCAAAGGATTTCATGAGCCTGTGGAAGCAGCTGCTCCCAACACTTCCCTCATCACRTACAACTTGCACTGCAGTTGTTTTTCATGTACTGTTCAAACTCTCCAGCCAAGCCTGSTCCAAAAGAAGCATAAGATCCAGAAATAGCTCCATATTAGAGTTTTGAKAGGGATTATGAGAGGTTTTCTGCATAAAACTCTAGTATGATCTCAGAGGATGTTTTGAAATCCCCAACAAATTGCTTCTCACGGAAGCTGGATTAAGATCTGTGAAGTAAAYGCAGTTATGGGCCTGTACTACATTACAGCAAGGAATGAGTAACTTGAATTATTACTATTATTATTATAGAAACAGCTCATTGTTGGTACAGATTGTGACACTTCAATCTTCCAGTTCTGTTGCACAGTTTGAACTACAAAGGTTAGAGATGCTCCTATAATGAACACGAGAGCCATATAATCTCCCTCTGGCTTTTAGTACCTCTGTGGATCACAACACTTTAGCAAAAACAGAAGAGCACAGACAAGCCTGAGGATTTTGGCAAAGTCATTGTTTCCCAGAGACAGCATAGCAACTGGTGGCTACACAATAAGGAAAGAAAATAAGGGGTAAGGGGTGTCTCTGAAAATTTGAGCTGTATTTGTTTTTTTTGGTTTTTTTTTAAATAGCTTGTGTATGTTTTGGATTATGTATTAAATTTGTCTCACCTGAAACTTTTCTATTACAGCTACTAATTCCTTATATTTTTATCTGTCCCGTATTTTTTTTTTTGCTACCTCGTTTTCTTTTCAGTATAGCTCCTGAAWTGATGCTTTTCTAGGATTCAAAGGGAGGAGGCTCTGTTGGAGGGAAGAAATTTAATAGGGCTGTGTGTAGGAGGATGAGCAGGTCAAGGAAGAGGAGGTGATCTTTGTGTTTTGGAAGGAAAATGAAAGGCAGTATCAAAATAATGAGGTGAACTAAACAGAGGATGGAACAGCAGAAAGTGAAAGGAATGGGGACAAAGAGCCTTTTTTAGAGAAACAGGAATCAATGGCAAGGAAATGTACAGGGAGACAGTCCATGCAGAGCAGTAATGAATCGGTTCCTTCTTTAGGAACAGAACAGAAACAGGAATAAAATATTTAGAAGATTGAAGTTTTACCAACCAGCAGTGTCTTTCAGTAGATTAATAAAASTCATGCAACAAGGAACATTCTCTCACTTATTTGCTTACTTTAAGGAACCACAAAATGATCAAGGATTGTCACCCTGGATTAGCTTTGGTGTTTTGCATATCAAGACACTCAAACTGACTACTTTGCAAAGCAGCCAGGTCCTGTAAGACAGTAGCTTCCTGTTAAACATCAGGCACTGTGGAAGCCAGTATTTCCTGAAGATACAAATCTTTTCCATAATCCTTTCTGTATTATCCCCTATATCCTATCTCCACTAGATTTATGAAACCAGTGATTCGCCACTAATCCGATTACTCCAGTTAGCACCAATTGAAAACAAAAAAAAAAGTACTTCCACCTCAAAATGCTGTGAACATCTAGCTAAYGCKGGRGAAATAGGAGCTCTGGAGAAAATCTGGAATCTGACAGCAAGGACCATGATATTAGGACATAGGATTAAGGTGCAATTAGGACACTTTAGAGTGAAAGGATTAATTGAACAAAGATAGATCTGAACAATCTCCATAGCCTTGGTTTGGTAACACTTGACCAGATGGTATTATATTGATAAAAGGTGCTGTTGATGTTACAGCAATTCACGCGTGGAAGTACCAACAAGGAACACAAAGCCAGTCCCAGCTGTTACCTCAATGAATGCTCTGTCTGAAATTTATCTTCTTTATGTTAATAAGAGKTGAATTGTGGGATGAGTCCATTGGTGCCGTGACTTTAACACGATCCCAAATGATCACCCCAAACTGTTGATCATATTGTTATTGGCAAAAGCAAAACCATTGTTATCTCTGCAGCTGCCAGCCACCTACTCACCTACCTAAGGGATAAGCTGATCCATTTCTGTTAATGAGGATTAGACAACGTTGTGGAACCTATTGATTTACACATGGCCAGATAAATGAAATTAAACTTGTGATACGTTATTGCACTTCAATTTAAAAGCCGCGGCAGTATCCTAGCACTTGAAAAGCTTGCAAGAATTCTGATCCAGACTATGAGACATTGCAGCCACATTACTCTGAGTGTCCAGAATTACCTTTCCTTACTTCTATCTGCTGCAGAGTTTCACAAAAGTACRTAAGTGGTTGTTTCACTCTGGCTCTGGTATTACAATCCTGATAAATGCAGAAAGACCCCAAAGAACCAGGGTTTTTAAAAMTTAGTCTAGTGGTTCTCATAAATCCCAAATTCACAACTAAATTTTCAAGAGAAAACATTCCTGGGAGACTGGTTTCCTCACATTCATGCATGGAAGGCTAGAGAGATGTTCAATAGGATTGTTTTAATCAATGATCTGCATCARATGAAGAAGCTGTACACTTCAGGTCAGTGAAAAATGCCAAAGAAGGAGGRAAGAGTAGAAGGTTAGCGATGCATACCATATTTTCTTATTTTTTGGTCTATTTAASAATGGACTTCTTTCATATGGGAGAAGAAGAGAGATGGGAGAATTCTACAAATATAATTACACAATTTTGATTATCTAACAGCYGAGTAGGCACTGGGAATCTTTAGACATGGCTTCTCAAATCATGGCACATTCCAGGGGTGGCATACAGACCACTGCCAAGTGCTGTCCAGGAAAGAACCATGAACTGCTCCTGCCACAGGGGCTTTCAATAGCAGCTTTAGGAACTGCACATCCTCCTCTTCAGGGATCCCAGAGCACACCAGTAGAGGCCTCTGTAGGGGCTTGATGAATTCTTTTTCAGTTAACACTGTTTGTGTGATTCACTTCCAGACACCTTGTAAACTGAGGAAAGATTAACAATCTAGGTTATTCCATACCCTATGCTTCAATTGTTCTGAGATTTATTTTTTTTTAAGCATAGCCAATTTAGAATAATAATGAATTTTAAAATTATTCTTAATTAATTCCTGCTTTTTTCTAAATTGTAATTTTTACTCTGCCTATTTCACCACTAATGGCTTCCCTATACATAAAAAAGCTAGCTTTCTTCTGCATGTTTTCATTTCTTTGTTATGTTCTTATGAGCTTGCAAATCTGTAAGCACTTTTCTCCATTTGCAGGCCAATAGGGGAGGGCAGGATGTTTATAAAGACCTGGAATTCCAAAAAATTCATTTTGTATTTTAGTTTTGATTAATGCCACTTAAGTGTAATGACAGCATCCATCCAGCTGAAAGCTCAGTTTCATTGGAAATTGCTTTTTTTTCAGTGAAACACTGCTAATCAAAAATGTATGAGCAATGCTTTCATTAGTAAAACAAAAAAAAAGGTAAAACAGTCTCATAAGTAAAATAAAATAAAAAATGGAGAGTGAGCAACTTTCTGTTCTAACATGGCCATCTGTCATTTATAAAGACATCACCTCATTAACCTGTCTAATCAACTCCATTCTTTTTTCAAAGTTGGTTAGGTAAGTTTATGAGGAGATGTAGATGTTCTCTTGATTAAATCTGTTGTAAAATGGCCTCCCTGGTGTTCTGCTTTGTGTGCATTTACACGTATAAAGGTAATTACATGTACATATCACTACTGTAAATTCCATGCTTGTCATGTTACAGTACATGACATTTTCATTTCCTTCTGGTGAAAATGAAATYTGATATTTTCTGTTCAAGCAATAATGACCAATTAGAATATGTTATTATTAATGTTTATCCAAAAGTACTCCAAGTCATGAGGTGGTTTCCTCTGAGGCAGCTGAATTTATAATGTGGAAAAAAGGGGGTTGATATGTTGCTATACCACCTTCAGCTATTCCCTCTCAGGCCTGGYTATTCCTTCAGCAAACTGGGAGAGCCTTATGGAAAACCCACAATGTAAGGAAGAACATTACTGAGTTCAAGTTTAGAAATGAAAACCCTGAGATGAGCTCAGCTGGTCACAGCCTGRTGCTAATAATGCTGAAGTTGGGRSTTTGATCYCTGTATGGGACATTCATTTAAGAGTTMGACTCCATGATCCTTCTGGGTCCCTTCMWATTCAGCTCTTTCTGTGARACCATTCCTTTCTTTTTGTGAAACCATTCTCCTCACAAAATCATCTGAAGTCTGTCTCCGACCTTTCCTGCCTGGCATTTTGCTTTTATSACAGGAAGCAGAGCTCAGTTCTCCTGCAAGTGCCTGTAACTCTGCGGCAGTCAGAGTCAGTTGAGTCACACCCGTCCTGCTGCAATGTGGTCAGCTATCYCCATCAGGATTGCTTCAATGCCCTTGAATTCCACCAGTAATGGGGAAACYTTTGCAAACTGACCCTTAGAAGAATGCCTCAAGAAATAATTCAAATAACTGTGCTGTKCCTGGGAACCACAACAGGAAGGCTTCTACAGCATGTGGTCAAAGTTTGTGGAAATGGCTCAAATACTGAGCACATTTTAGATGCTTTGCTGGTCACTTAGGAAAGATCCAAATAGGACGTATTTGATAAAATGCCAGATTTTTTACTGCCTATTTTAGYAGATGGATTATTTTTTAGTTGCCTGAGCCCTCTTTTGTTTAAAATAAAACAKGCATCCTCAGATCCTGAGATGTGTATATTTATGCATACAGAGAACTTTTTGAAMTATCCTTCAATGATGATGGAAAGCACACTTATTTTTAGAGGAGTTTGAGAATGAAAACTTTTTTTTACTTGAAATCTTCTCTCTAGAAACTTWCCTCTCTAGAGGTAACTGGAGAGGTGGACAGCACACAAACCCATAGTGAAAAGAGGAGATAAACCAACTCTGTATCATATGTAGAGAGAGAAAAAKTTACAAAAGAGCAAGCAGTTGGAATTATGTTGTGGCATATCATAGGATAGAAAGCAGATAACTTTTGGGGTGTTCCATTTGGAAGATGGAAATAGATCTGCTCTACTCTCACTGAAATTCCATGGAGGAAGCTGCCTGGGSAGTGTTACAACTCAAGGAATGGCCAACACATCTCTTGACAGATCTCAGTAACAGAAATGCAAAAGGAGCCTAAAAATAGTCAA